GTCATAGTCGTAGAATTGTATAGCTTGGAAACAGGCCCTTTGGTCGACATGAACGAGTTGGTCCAGACAGCCTAAATTAACCTAGTCCCATTTACCAGAATTTGGCCCTTATCCCTCTAAACCCTTCCTATTCATATACACATCCAGATGCTTTTTAACCGTTGTAATTGTACCAGCCTCCACAACCTCCTCTGGCAGATCTTTCCATGCATGCATGACCCTCTGAAAAAGTCACCCATCGGTCACATATTATCTTCCTCCTCACACCTTAAAACTATACCCCCTCTGGTTTTGGATGTTGCCACCCTGGGGAAAATACCTTGCTACTCACCCTATCCATCTCCCTCATGATTTTCTAAGCCTCTATAGGAGGTCACTCCTCAGCTGCTGAGGTTCCAGGAAAAAAAAATAGCCCCAGCCTATTCAACCTCTCCCAACAGCTCAAACCCACGAACCCTGGCAACGTCCTTGTAAATCTTTTCTGAACCCTTTCAAGTTTCACAACATCCTTCCTATGGCAGGGAGACCAGAATTACACACAGTATTGCTAAAGTGGCCGAACAGATGTCCTGTAAAGATGCAACATGACCTCCCAACTCCCATACTCAATGCACTGATCAATACAGACAGGCATACCAAACGCCTTCTTCACTATCCCATCTACCTGCAACTCCACTTTCAAAGAACTATTAATCTGCACTGCAACGTCTCTTTGTTCAGCAACATTCCCCATCAAGGTGTGCAAGTTCTGGCCTGATTTGGCTTTCCAAAAAGTAGCACCTCACATTTACCTGATGTAAACTCCATCAGCCAATCATTTGAGTTCATTCCACAAATAAACAGTTTCTCCAATTCCATACTAGCCTGTTATGACTTTCAAATCTCGATTGTCTAAATATAAAATAAAACAAAAATTGCAATCAAATAAAGCTCCTGGGTGGATGAATTCACTCCCATCTCACCACTGGGTGCAGATGCATGTCTCATATTCACTATTTACTCGTGATTGTATGTGATATGATACAGTGCCACCTAGGGAGCGTTGCAAACAGTACAACACTAAATTGCGAAAGGATATTGAAGCCTGTAGTTCACACGCATATCTCGATATAAATCACCCCAATCCACTCGATTAAATTCTAGTCCATGAACATTGGTATCAGTAATCCTAGACTTAAATCGCCAGAACCATCGATTAGATGCTAGTTTGTTTTAAATACTCGTTTCAGCTCATTCATCAAAAAACCAATGTTGAAATAAAACAAATGAAACAATCTCAAATCTTTAAATCAAACATTGGTCACAAAATACAGCACACGTTCAATAACTCCTTCAGTTCTAAACATACAACCGCCATTCTCTCTTCAGAGCCACCCAAAACCTCATTTTGGGAGCAGAGACCCGAGATGAGGAAAGAAAGCACATGCGGAGGGGGTACAGTACTGCAGGGTCGAAGACATCATGTCAACAGATACTGAGTCGCTTTGCGGCTACCGGGGTCATTATTTCCCGATTTCTAAATTTATTGATGTTCCTCCACGAGTGTCGGATCTTTCCAATGCAATTACAGGAATCTGCCGCATGGATACATTCCGTCCAGGCGGTTATAGCTCAGTAACACTAACTGATGGCAGGGTGAATATTGTGTTACCGGAAATTAAAATTAACTCGGCAGTGGTGACGGTCTAGTTTCTTTCACAGATACTGTGGGTGGCTCTTAAAAGAGCCTTTGGGTCGTCAGATGAAATAACGGTCTCTTCACTTTTTAGTGGCGCCCCCAGCGGCGGTTTTCTTGGGCAGCAGCACGGCCTGGATATTAGGCAGCACCCCACCCTGAGCGATGGTCACCCCTCCCAGCAGCTTGTTGAGCTCCTCGTCGTTGCGCACGGCCAGCTGGAGGTGCCTGGGGATGATGCGGGTCTTCTTGTTGTCCCGGGCAGCGTTACCGGCCAGCTCGAGGATTTCAGCCGTGAGATACTCGAGCACCGCAGCCAGATAGACCGGCGCTCCGGCACCCACACGCTCAGCATAGTTACCCTTTCTCAGGAGCCGATGAACACGGCCCACCGGGAACTGCAGGCCAGCCCGGGACGACCGAGACTTCGCCTTGGAGCGAGCTTTCCCACCAACGCCCTTTCCTCTCCCAGACATAGCCACAATGTCACAAGCACTTTCACAGAGAATAATGCAATGCGCCCACATTCCGCCCTGTTATACCTTCGGGAGGAATGGGGGTGCGGCCATTGATGATTGGTCACATTGTGCAGTATCTCCTAATGTCGTTTCAATTCCCAATCAGCTATCTGCTTCACTCACCAATCCGGAGAGGGCCCTGGGAGGAGGCCGGAAAATACCGGCGCCAAATCATCAACCGCTTTCTTTCATACTCGAAAAGCCCGCCACTATGGACAAAAGAGGAATGCATAAAGACGTACGAGTTAGTTTAGTTTTAGCTTGCAAATGTACGCTTTACACAATCTCTTTACCTCATTCAGTCCATTTAATTTCGGACCTTAAATGGGATTTTTTGAATTTTAAGTACAAGCGGAAATAAGATCAAAGCGCCAAAAGCCACACTTTGCAGCATTCTTTTTCTTTCAATTTATTTAAAAAGCCTATCGGTATATTGATAAAAACATCAGACATCGTTCTTCCCGGTGAGCGCATTAACCGTCTCTGGACAATATTTTAAATTCGTGCTCCCTTATCATACCTGATCATACCTCAGCAAAAGCAAAGTTGCTGTTTCAGTTCTGGTTTATCTCGGTTCACTTTGAAAGTCTCTCACCCACAGAAGAAAGCCTCATTTACAGCATTCTACAAACGGACACAACTCCCGTGGAGATTTGGAAATTAAAGCAAAAGACCAGCGATCTCAAAATGTATCTATTCGGATGATTCAAAGACAGGGAGACTTTTTCTTTCCCCCAGAGATGAACTTCACGGTTCATACTCCACCAGGCCCTGCAGCTCCTGAACTGACCGCATCAGAGGAGCAGGAAGGCTGACGTTTCGGACCTAGTCCCTTCTTCAGAAAAATCCTGCTCCTCTGATGCTGCTTGGCCTGCTGTGTTCATCCAGCTCTACACCTTGTTATCCCAGATTCTCCAGCATCTGCAGTTCCTACTATCTCTGAAACAATTAAAGGATAACTAACAGAATTAGCTCATCAATGGCTGGTTTAATTTGCTCTCTCTCTGCAGGTAGGGAAGAGACTGTATGTGAACGCAACCGAAAATAAAGTGCAGAGGAAAAGCGACCACTTATCGCACAAACTTCAACAGCCAAATACTTAATTAGACGATTCCCCAGAATCAATTTCAAACTAAAGCAAATCAGTAATAAAGAGACAATGGCTCAGCTTCTTTCAATGAAATTGTGGGTGGCCCTTAGAAGAGCCTTTGGGTTTTGGATGTGATTTTCTCAGTACAATTTGGTGTCTCACTTGGAGCTGGTGTACTTGGTCACCGCCTTTGTACCCTCCGACACGGCGTGCTTGGCCAGCTCCCCGGGCAGCAGCAACCGCACGGCGGTCTGGATCTCCCGGGAGCTAATGGTGCTGCGCTTGTTGTAATGGGCCAGGCGGGAAGCCTCTCCCGCGATACGCTCGAAAATATCGTTGACGAACGAGTTCATGATGCTCATGGCCTTGGAGGAGATGCCGGTGTCGGGGTGAACTTGCTTCATCACTTTGTAGATGTAGATGGAGTAACTTTCTTTCCTGGATCGTTTCCTTTTCTTGCTGCCTTTACCTGGCGCCTTCTTGATGATTTTCTTCGCGCCCTTCTTGGAAGTTGGCTGCGATTTCTTCTCATCAGCCATAATGACGGCCACTTTCAGACACAGAATAAGGAAAAGTGGGCTCGGAGCTCGCTTTTTATAGGCTGACGGCGTCAGCAATGCTAATGAAGGATGGGGGAAAGTCTTGTTTCTGATTGGGTAGTATAAATTACGTCAAGTCGGGAAACTCAATGTTTTGTGATTTGTTAATGTGGGACTCAGTGTGGATCTCTCAGGGTCCGCCGCGAAATGTGAGGTGGAAGTTAATTTTGTTTCTGTCAATCTGACTGAGGGAGATTTGTTTAGTGTCTGTAGAACAGAAAGTATCGGTTCGGTACATTTTGCTCGTTGTGATGATGATTTAGGATTGGAGGGGTGTGTTTCTAGCCTCGCATGTCAGTTTCTGGTCCTCTGTACTGTATGTAATTAACACAGAGCTTGTTACTTTCTGATAAATTCACACATCCAAAATGAGCCAGTTTATGTGGATTTTCTCTAGATTTTATTTACTGAAAAGTCAGTGGCATTCACATTGGACTGCTTTTTCTGAGTGCAGATATCAATCTATGCTTCTCAGTTTCTTCTCTGTCAATACGTGAGTTTTGTTACCCATCTATACCTGTCAGACCTTATTCGGTGAATGTGAGTATAGTTACCAACGTGTGCCTGTCAGATTCTGCTCTGTAAAATGTGTGTTGTTATAGAACCGTACATGTCCATTGTGCTGTGTGAAACAGGAGTGTTATTATTAACCCGTTCCTGTCGGTATCTGCTTTGGGAATATGAAAGTGTAGTTATCAGTCTTTCTCTGACATTTACTGTTATGTGCACGTGAAAGTGTACTTACCAATCTGTCCCTGTCAGACACTGTTGTGTATGTGAGACTATAGTTATTAATGCCTGTCAGTTTCGAGTTTGTGAATGTGAATAAATGTTTCATTCTGTACCTGTCGATTTCAGCTATGAGAATGGGAGTGTTGTAATCAGTCTCTACATGTCAGTTTCTGCTGTTTCAACAGGAGTTTAGTTATTGATTTGTTCCTGTCAGATTCTGCTCTTTGAATATGCAAATATAGTTGTCGACGTGTACCTGTTAGTTTCTGCAATGAGAATGTGTATCTAATTATCTGTCCCTGTCAGATTCTGCCCTGTGAATTTTACAGTGCAATCATTATTCTGTAATTGTCAGTTTCTGCTTTGTGAATGTATGATGCAATTATTAATCTCTGCCCATCAGTTCCTAGTTTTTTGATTGTGTTAATGCAATTTCAAATGTGTTAATATGTTAATGCAATTACCTGTCAGTTTTTGGTTCTTGAATGTCTGTGTAGTCATTATTCTCTCCCTGGCCTGTTCAGCTTTGTGAACATCTATGTGAAGTTATCCAACTATGCCTGGCAGTTTCTGTTCTCTGAATATGTATGTCGTTATCATTCTGTTCCTGTTCGTTTCTGCTGTATGAATGGCTGAGTAGTTACAAAACTGTAACTATTAGTTTCTGTTTAGTGAATATGGGAATGAAGTTATCAATCTGCACATCACAGTTTACATTATGTTCAACTAGATGTGTTCTCATCAATTTATTCCTGTCCATTTTTATTTTGTGTATTTATCAATTGGTGCCTGTCAATACTTGCTGTGTGTATGTCTGAGTGTATTTACCAATCTGACCCTATTAGTTTCTGCTTTGTAAATGCTTAACTACAGGTATCGATTTGTACCTGTCAGTATCAGTTTAGTGAACATGTTTGTGTAACTATCAGTCTATCCATGACAGATTGTGCTATGTGAATGTGGGAGTGTATTTATCAATCTTTCCCTATTGGTTTGTAGTTATCAATGTGTACCTATCAGCTTCTGCGATCCAAATAAGTAAGTTTAGTAGTCATGCCAGAAGACTGGAGGTTGGCTAATGTGGTACCACTATTAAAGAAAGATGGTAAGGAAAAGCCAGGAAACTATAGACCAGTGAGCCTGACATCAGTGTTGGACAAGTTGTAGGAGGGGATCCTGAGGGACAGGATTTACATATATTTGGAAAAGCAAGGGCTATTTAGGGACAGTCAACATGGATTTGATCATGGGAAATCATGTCTCACTAATGTGACTGAGTTTTTTGAAGAATTAACAAAGAGGCTTGAAGAAGGCAGAGGGTGGACATGATCTATATGGACTTCAGTAAGGCATTTGATAGGGTTCCTCATGGTAGAGTAGTTAGCAAGGTGAGATCACACAGAATAGAGGGAGACCTAGCATTTGGAAACAGAACTGGTTCGAAGGTCGAAAACAGAGGGTGGTGGTGGTTGCTTTTCAGATTGGAGGCCTGTGACCAGCGGTGTGCTACAAGGATCAGTGCTGCTCCACTGCTTTTAGTCATTTATATAAATGATTTGGATGTGAACATAGGAGTTATGGTTAGTAAGTTTGCAGATGACACCAAAATTGGAGGTGATACGGACAGCAAAGAAAGTTACTTCAGAGTACAATGAATGGGACCTTGATCAGGTGGGCGAATG